CTTCTGCTAGTGTGGCATCCCATGTTCGTTATTAGCTATTTATTGACTATAAATCCAAAAGCAAGAATGTGCTTTGATGAACACATTGGCAGTGGGAATTGCTGGCTCTCCCTTTCAGACAGATTTAGATATTTCTCACTGAACATGGTCTTTGAACTTTAGAGGCTTTTGTTTGCAGCCCTTTGCCTTTGAAAAATTATGATTTCAGCAAATTGGCTCCTCTCATCTTCAGTTTTGGGTTTGAGATTAGAACACAACATCCTGCTGACCCCGAAAATAAGCTCTGCATGTATTTATGAGGCAAAAGCAAGAATCCAAAACATATTAAAAATTTACAACACATTTAGTTCCTTTAGTTCCTTGGTAAGTCAAGACACTGACCGGTATGAATGTAGTCATTTAATTGTGGTCACGACAGATAACATAGCCACTTTCAGTCATGGTAATTGCCACTAATGTGAAAAGTGGTTTATTATAAATCATTGTTTTGATAGATGCGTTCATAAAGAAATTAGTTTGTTGGGTTTGTAGAGTTAAATAGTCATATTAACACGCATTCTTAGATCTGTGGCCAGTGGTGTGCAGGTCACACTCACTTTGATAGCTATGATTTTGACTAGTTGTGTTATTTTGGCTCCGTTTTGAGAGACTTGAAAAGCGCAACCTAAACAAAGCAGATGCAAGCCACACAAATGCTTTGTTTATAAAAATGAAAATGTGAAGACTTGGAAAACTATCTATGGAAGCTTGTTTCTTCCACTGAATATGAAAACAAAGAAGTAATTGCAATGCTTTTTTTCCTCACAATTCTTTAAATATAAACTCAGAATTGCAAGATAAAGTCACAGATTAGCTTTATTTTTAATTCATTTTTGTTTCTTAATAATCTTCCATAAAAGAAAAAAAAATTGAACTGCGAAATGTAAGTGTGTTAATAATTTTGTGAAAAATGTCAAAATTGTGAAATGTAAACTCAGAATTCTGGGGGGGGGGGAAAGTCAGAATTGCAGAGAAAAAAAAGGTCAAAATTGTGAGATCAATTGTGTGACAAAATTGTGTGAAACTCATGATTGCAAGGGGAAATAGCGTCAGAATTGTGAGATGAAAAGTCACAATAATCATTTTTATATCTTCATTCCACGGCAGAAATAAGCTCCATAACTATAAGCCTGTCTAACATAGAAGAAAAAAACTTTTGAATAGCACTTTATTTTTCAACAACTCCCCACTTTTTACAGACGCAATCATCTGGAAGTCGACAACATTTTGAATGTTGCTCATCTACTGAGGCTGAGTTCATTCCCAGTGACCTGCAGCTGGTGATTTGTCTCTCTAACAAATTAGACTATTTAGCTTTTTCCCTTGGGTATTTTTTTTCTCTATTTTCTTTCTGTGCTCTATAAAGACACATGAATGAACAGAATGGCACATATTTCTTTTCAGCATCATTCTTTTTGTGAAATAAACCAATATTTCACTGACAGGCAAAATCAGGCTTTGGACTGCTCTTATTGTAGGTTTAGGCCAAGTTTGTAACAGAACAGAGGTGGTCAGAGCCAGCATTAGTCTCAGTCTGACTACTTGCATTCATGAGAAGGAACGGACCCCACAGCAGCCACCATTATCATGTGCTACAAACAATGTCCGTCATTGTGAGCATTAAATAGCACTGTACCAATTTGGGAGGGGTTCTTTTGATTTTTAGGTCTGCCTGCGGTTGTAGCTCGGTAGAAACTAGTCCTGTGAGTTGAGCTGTCCAGGGCAAACGGCCAGCTATTGTCCTTCTGTCCTGGCACACAGATGCACGCCACTTGCTCCAGGAAGTGTCCTGTGTCTCTGAGCAGCAGTGAATCTGGCCCTGGTGTTCCAAGCTGTTCGAGCATGTCGTCCTTTTTATCGTCCCATTCTTCCAGCAGCAAATCTGTACTATCGCTTTGCTTTGACATAAAACAAGAAAGAGGAGACAGTGCCGATAAACATTTGATGGTTCCATATCTTTTTACCCATCAGCAGATCCCTCAAAAACACCTGTGTATATTGATATCCTCTGCTTTTTCCACTCCAGACCTATAACTTTTTTTATTTGGTGCAGATCGATTTGGGATATCATGTAGATGTCGCTATTCTGTTTTGTTTTCCAGTCTCTTGGTTTTATTGCGCTCATAACTGGAAGCACATAAATCTCAAACATTTTAACACTTCGGCAGCAATCGGTGGCATTATAATGTGTCTAAACTAACTTTATCTTACTTTTTGTATCTGTGTTTTGAAATATAGCAGTTGTCAAGCATTGTCTGGGCTCATGATTCAACCAACACTCAACAGGATTTGAAAGACCCAGAGCTGACAGTACAGTATGAGTTTTTGGGAGTGAAGGTATGCTGTGCCCTTGAGATAGGGAGTGTTATGGAAGCTATCCTGCCATCAGAAAATGGCTTTTGTGACTCCCAGGCAGGGTGCATTTTTCACACGTCTGTTGGGCTTTGAGACTGTGGGAAAAAAAGGAAAGGAAAGAAAGATCAGAAACTTGCTGGCGTGGGTGAGATGGTCACAGGTTCCTAAATGTCAAGGTCATTATTTTTCCATGTCTTAACACGTGTTTCAACACCTTTTTTTCATCCCTTGTTTTAACCTATCAGCATTTTGTTTATTTCTTTATTTTTGATTTGCCTTAGTCGCGAAATATGTTCATGGCAGTTGTCTCCATTTTTAGACAAGAAAAAAAAAGACAATATACCTGTGACTACACATTACATGTTCATTTAACAGTCTTCATCTACAACATGACCTTTAGTCTAATTAAATGGAAAGTTCACTCAAAAATCAATACTGTCATCATTTACTCACCCTCATGTCTTTTTAAACTTATGACATTCATTCTTCTTTGGAATATAAAATAACTTTTGAGAAAATATTTTGAAAAGTGTCTTGAGTGTTTGTTTTTGTCCAATGAATATTAATGGAGTTGTTTGCACCCCAGTGTTCTTCAAAGATGCACACTTTTGGAATGACATTCGGCTGAGTAAATGGATGACAGAATTTAATTTTTTGGTGAACTGTCCCTTTTAATATTCTAATAATATTAATTGCAATTAATAATGTAATAATGTTGGTATTTATAAATTTAGTTTCGTTCTCACACACAGTGAACATTTTTATTACCTCATAATAAAACTCCCCTTTTCTCTCAAGTGAAAATACTGTATGCTACAAAGCCATTTCATGTCCTTAGAATTTTGTTCTGGGTGTGGGCTCTCTTGCCTCTTGTCATCTGAGTCATACTGTTCAGAGCATGCAGTACACAATGGGCTGCTTCAGCCGTCTTTAGTCAGGACTTCTGCATATTAAAGAACCAGGCTCTGAATAGGAAAACTCTTTTGACTGTAATCCGACCTCTGACGACATGCTGATGGCTGTTCACATTCCTCTGCCGGCAACAATGAGAGGCCAGTGACAGGTATTGTGGCCTGAGAGTAATCCTGGTGAAAAGGAAAGGAGATGTGGAGCTATTGGGTGCAAAAACATTATTCTTGAGTGTCCCTTGTGCAATGCAGCCTAGATTAGCCTTTTTTCTTTATAAAACCCAATGCCTCTCCACCCTACAGCTGAAACACTTCATGTAGGCTACTACTCTTAACACCATCGGCCCCCAAAATTCCTGATGGGGATTTTGGATCACATAAGCAGACAGGAGAATCAACAGCTGTGTTTCAGGATTGTGAATGTGACAAGATTTTTACGTTGTACTCCCAACAACCTTTTGAAGTGATAAAATGGCCTTCTCTAAGGCTCTATTATTTCTCTGTCAAGATTTTCTTTTCTTTTCTTCATCGTCTTGTTGAAGGCATATTCTAGTCTCTTTTTTGCGGTATTCATGCATTTTTATCCCCGAACCCCTGCAAGGCTTTGATTCTTTGTTCTCCTCTCCCTTTTCACATAACCCATACATGAAGTGAGTCTGTGATGCCTTTGAAAATTGACCTGTATTGCTTCTCAGAAACGTTGCGTCTTGTTGCTTTGCTTCAGTCGTTCCTCAGATGCCCATTGTGTGCTTCTCCCTCTAGTTAAACAACATGTAGGCCATTGGTGAAATGCGTGTGTGTATAAACTCTGCATCTTTTGAGATGTCATTGAAAGTGAACAAAACCTAAAACCACTGTGAACATAGTAGATGTCTGTAAAAATCAGTTGGTATGTTTGTTTAGGTGTCTACTTAATGTGAATGGCTTTAAATTGACACTCATGTTTACTGACTTTTCAAACTGTCTATTGTCCTTTTGTCTGAAATGGGTTATTCTGTTACTATTACTATACTATTGAAAGTTGTATAAGGAATATTTGAAAGTTTTAGATAACATCTAAAGTTACACTTTCATGATCCCTCTTGCAAGATCCTTTCACACTTGCCAATCGTTTCATGACTGTCATCACCTTTAGCCTTCAGTACAACTTCCTGCATTGCAGTCGCCATTAGTTCTATCCTCATTCTGCAGAGGTCTTTACTTGGTTAGTGTTAATCTGAATCCTACTCGACTCATTCACCTGTGCCACACTTTGCGCTAAACCCTTCATTTAAGATGAAAAGATTAAATGACTTTTGCCCTTTGAAGTGCATGAAGGATAGTGAGGATCACTTTTTAAAAACCTTACTAATCAATACAAGCCGCCTCCATTATCCCGTAATCCTGGCATTGCCTTTGTAAATGCCTCTATAGACACTCTTGGTATTCAGTGAAAAGAAACCCAGGTTGTATGGCTCCCACGGCATTATCTGGGTTTGGCTTTTGCAGCCAACATTCAGAGAGGGGTAATACAAGAGTTTCTCGTCTGGCCTAGTCAAAATTCATTGCCTTTGGATACACAGTTGCACCTTAGAGTTAAATTATAGGATTGTTCAGTCCACAAGTAACAGAACTGATTGCTAAAGTGGTGTGGACTAGATTTTTTTGCATTAATTGCATTTGTACTTTTGTTAAATTCATGCTTTGTTTTCTTTTTAGGTAAACTGAAGTTGGCCAGAATGTTCTGGGCATGATCTGTCTAGAGCATCCAGTGCCAAAAAACAAGAAGCCACCTTCAACAAGTCCAAAACCCAAAACCTTTTCTGCACGGGATCAGGAGATAAGGACTCAGAGAGGGTAGAGAAGGGGTGTAGAGGTGTTGGGCAGGGGGCCGCTGGTGCATGTGGGGGCAGTGCACATCTTTTGCTGAAGAGTGGAAGCCCACCTCGCCCATGCCGTCCCCTGCCCAACCCAGTCTCACCTCCCTCTGCAATGGTGACATGAGCGCATACATTAAGGAGAAGCCCGTTTTCAACCCATCTATTTCGTCTCTTTGGAAAAACCATACAATAGACTTGTAGATAGAGTACTGTGTCTATCCTGATTGGTGTGGTCGCAAGGTGATGATGCTGATGTGTGGACGTTTGAGGCGGCTCTTCCGTCAGCTCACGCTGCAGACCAGCCTGCTGCTGCTCTTCATTTTCTGCATGGTCAGTGTCCTCATCTCAGCCTATTTCTTGTATGGTGTTAAACGGGAGCTCGAACCCGCAGGTGTTGGAGGTGTGGGGGTCCCGGAAGAAGGTACTGCCGATTGGGAAGATCCCCGGGCAACTCCTTCCCCTCCATCAGCAAGGGTTCTACCTGCCAGAACCGCCAAGCCAGCAGACATGTCTCGAACAGACCCTGTGGTACTGGTGTTCGTGGAGAGCTTGTATTCCCAGTTGGGCCAGGACATCGTGGCCATCTTGGAATCTGGGAGATTTCGGTACCAGACCGAGATTGCACCTGGGAAGGGCGATATGCCCACACTCACGGACAAGAACCGGGGTCGATTTACGCTTGTCATCTACGAGAACATCCTCAAGTATGTCAACCTGGATGCTTGGAACAGAGAGTTGCTGGACAAGTACTGTGTGGAGTATGGCGTTGGCATCATCGGGTTTTTCAAGGTGAGCCATTTGTGTTGTACATTTTGACCTTTCACAGCAAATTGTGTCACTAATGGGTGTTAATGTCTCTCTTAATTCCAGTGGGTCAATCAGTTTGCACTAAACGATCTCACGACATTTCGTAGTCTATTTCAAAAGTTAGCTTGCAGAAATATTGCCAGCAGAGGGGGGTTGGGGCATTATGCTAAACATTGCAGTAATAGCACATTACTGAACATGAATGTCCTTGTTGATTGCCTCTTGTTCTATGAGGGAGCTGCTCTTCAAAATCAATCAGAGGAAATAATCGGCCCTAGAGTCTGCAAATTTGACTATTACTCATTGCTGTCCGTCATTGCCAGCTTGTAAACCTCCTCTCCCAGTTCTAATGTATTGTTTACCTAAGGCCAGGCGAGCCTCATGAGCTTGAGTGCAGCACACTAATTGTTAGTGGAGGTTAACCCAGTTGATGAGATTGTTAGAGTCTCGCTCACCTGCAGCAGAAGGGCGAGGACATCAACACGTCTTAAAAGGAACCGCATGAAATTTGCGCTCGTTAATTTTCATTGACTCAGGCTGCTCTAATTCTCCTCAAAGCTGTTTTACCCCAGGCTCTTCTGCTTACACACTAACAGGAGCAGTTCAATCCCTGATTGGCTGGAAATGCTGTTTTCTTGTCCAGGCAGTTAACATCCTTGCCTTGTTGGATTTTATTGATTTCGAGCCTTGAGTGTGTCTGATAACAGACCCTGAAGGTACATGGTTCAGCAGACCAAACCTTTTTGTCCCTTTGAGTGTAGAAGCGCTGCCTCCAGTTCACTCCAGTAATGGAACATGCATAACTACCTTCACATCAAGCCTTGACTTGCACCTGTCAATGCCAAATGCATTTATCTCACAAGAGTTGGAGTATGTCTGAACACACACAAAGAAGCATCACAGTGGACACCAGCAGTTCTTTTAGTTATGCTTGCATGCATCAACGGGTTCAAGCTCTTGTTTGCCCTCCTATTAGTTTTCTAACCTAATCCATGGAGTCCATAGAGTCAATGTATAATTGGAAAGAACCCTTGTGTTTCCTAACCAGCAGTTGAGTTGGGCTAATCTCTAGGGGCCATATTAAGTCTCCGGCCACAAACCAAACTCACTAGCTCTGTTCTAAATCATAGTGTGTTGCCTACCAATACTACCTAGCATTTTAAGGCATCATAAGATCCCTGACATGAAGGCTGCTACTTTCTTTTTGGTCAGCTGTAAGGTAAGCCACCTTCTCTTTACCTAATTCAAAGGCAGCATCACATGTATCATATGTGGAAAAGCAAACTCCAGCTAAGTAGACAAAAAAAGAATGATTAAACTTTCATGGTGGACAAGTCAAGAGATTTTGAATTTAAGTATGCTTATTTCATTTAGTGCCAAAGACTATTGATAAAAGTAGTTGATTGTTTACCCAATATTTTTTTTTACTGTATGTTACTTTATTTACTTTGTTAGAGACTTGTGTTGTTAGCTTTGCAACATGCTAACATCAAACTTCAAACTAACATCCTGTGTGCTTCATAGTTACTACATGCAGAGTCACTTATAAAGTGCAATAAAGCAAAGCAGTTGCCTATGTTGGCAGTACCCAGCAAGCTGGATTAAAAAATTTTTTACTGCTTTTTTTGGGCTTGGACTAATTATCTAACATGGTTCATGAATTGTTCAGTGTCAGAGTAAGTTAAATGCTGATAAGCTTTGAAGGAGCCTTTGGCTTGCAAGTGTTGCTGGAACAATGGAGACAGGAAAATGGGATTAGGGAGAGTGGCTCAGAGAAGTTATTGATTGAGGCCACTGGTATGTGAAGATCGCCCATCCTTATTCTCCTAGTGCTGATTGGCATCACCACGTACTCTTGAAGTTTCAGCTTGTTTCAGTGTGTTGCCATGAAAAGAAACAGATAAAAATGTGCATGATTCATCGGACATCGCCTGTGGACATCACATCTCTCCAGAGGGTCCCATTGCAACCTCTGGTGGCAGAATAATGGCTGTGTTAAGAGATGAGCAGGGTAAAGGCCTCTCTCCAAATTGTAAGGCTCATTGTGTTTGTTCCACTCCGTGTGCAGTTTATCACCAATTGATCCAGCTTCACAGGGTCAGCTGGGCCAAGAGGAGAGTGGATTGCATGCAGATGAGAATGGATGGTGTTTAAAAAAATTTGGGCACTCATAGAGCCACAAGGCATCTAATTCAGGAGAGAACTAGTTTACTTCAGCTTAGAGAGTAAAGGAAGCAATAAATTACTGCTATACTATGGGGCCATATTAAAAAATATCCTTCACAGTACATCCAGACCATTTATGAAATATGCTATCCAATTTCTAACTGCAAAAAGTTGCATTGCTGAACACTTACAAAACATTGTAGAAAGATACAAAATGGTGTTTGTCAACAAAGTGGTCTCCTAGCAATCAAATTGAGGCTGTGCTATGCTAGGGGCCATTCACACGACAACAGCGTTTTGGGGACAGAAAACATATTTTTGAAAACGGGTTTCAAAGTGCAAGTTTTTCCATGTAAACACCCAATACGGGAATCTTTGAAAACGGTGACGTCATGCACGTGCATAGTACATGTTAGGTATGTAGACATGCGCAGTACGTGTCGATTTTAAAGGCAATCGCGAACAAACATACACAACAATGATGGAGTATGTGGTACTGCTCAAGAGTTTGCTAATACTTCTTCAGCAAAGTGTGGATTTACTTCACCAATATTACAACCAACAGCGGAGACGCATCATATACATCATATAATCGTCACTTCCCTACAGGTACTGTTTACTAACAAGGTGACAGCGCCAACTACTAGCCTGGCATACGTAATACAGCGTTTTTGCCCATTTTCGCGGATGTGTGTAAATGCGGTTCATTTTGAAAATGTTGTCGTGTATAGGGTTGGGTACCGAACTCGGTACTTTTAAGGGTACCGACCAAATTGCATCAGTACTACCGAGTACCGATTCACGTTAAATCAATCGGTGCTAAATTTCGGTACCTGAGAACGCATCTGGGCACATACGCTACTGAGAGAGAATGAGAGACCCTGTGACGTGAGGTCACCTCTGCAACTTGTTCAAACAACACACAGGGCAAGCCGAAATGTTCTGAAGTGTGGTTACATTTCCAGGGCCATATAGTTTCTGCGAAATCGGGGATGGGATCACAGAGTCCATTCATAAAAACGTAATTTACTCTAGTGCGGAATGCCACGGAATTCGTCAAAAATCTAAAGTAGGTCTGCCACTTACTTCGAATCGCGATATGAACTAGTGTCTGTGAATATTAAAATGCAAAAACACTGTTTAAATATGAATCCTGCATGTTCCGCTTGCCTCTGTATGTATGAATGACGGAAACACGGTTTTGTTTACCACACAAATACTGAAGCACGCGTGATGCTCACGATGATTTCCGGCTTCTGCGTCTCACTATATGACGGCATGAACACATGTTTCGTTTGAGAAAACTAGCACCATCATACTGTATGCACACAGAAACTTCATGGCAACCTGTCAAAATAAAAGTACGGTTTAACATGTAACATAAATATATTACTCTTGTATTACTTTTGTACAGAATAATGTACATCTTTAAATATTCAATTTTCTATCAAATTTAAATAAAACAATTAAATGATAAAAATAAATATTACAACCAGATTAATCACTTAATTGTAGAAAAAAAATAATACAATTATTAGCCTATTAATAAATATTTTAAAGGAATATTCACACAATTTTTCTTCCATGTATTAATTTCAATAGTAAATTTATAGGGTTTATAGGGCTGTATTGTTCAAAATGTTGAAATTGAGACTTTTGGACTTATTTTTTCACTGAAATAAATGTTTTTGTAATTACACAGAGAGTAAAGTACAGAAAAAAGGTACCGTTGGGTACCGGCAGCGAACTTTTCCAAATAGGAAGTTGGAAACTCGTGCTGAATTTAATTCAACTCAAAGTCTAAACCGGTTAAAATAGGTTATTCAAAAATAATATTACAGCCGTGAGTACAATAGGCATGGATAATGGTCTTGTAAAACAAAATGACTAACAGTATGAATGGGGAACAAATTAAATGCTAAAAACCTGTCTGTGAATATTGCTCCTTTAAAGTGGATTTTTATCTTGCTCTGTTTTACCAATCATTTCTCTGCTGCTCTCTCTTCTTCCAACACTTCATGAAAGGCTAATGAGAACAGTTTGCAGAGTGCCCAGCTGAAGGGCTTTCCTCTCTTCCTGCACTCCAATCTGGGTTTAAGAGACTGCAGCGTCAATCCCAAGTCTCCACTGCTGCTCATCACCAAGGCCCGGGAGGTGGAGCATGGTCCCTTACCTGGAGACGACTGGACGGTCTTTCAGTCTAACCATACCACTTATGAGCCTGTGCTGTTAGCTCGGGGACGGAGTACAGAGGCCAGTGGAGCTCCTGGACTCCTTCATGCAGCTGTGGTTCAGGATTTAGGTCTTCATGATGGCATCCAGCGGGTACTCTTTGGCAACAACCTGAACTTTTGGCTGCACAAACTTGTACTGGTGGATGCAGTGAGTTTCTTGACTGGCAAACGTCTCTCGCTGGCACTTGAGCGATACATACTGGTGGATATCGATGACATCTTTGTTGGGAAGGAGGGCACAAGGATGAAGGTCTCTGACGTCAAGGTGAGTTCTGTTTTGTTTGAAAATTCTGTTTGTGCAGTTTTTCTTACTTTAATAAATGCCAAATGGCTTGCTAGTTTATCAGTTCTATCACATTTATATCTTTTTAGTTTGACTCAAGTTAGGGCTGCACGATTATGACAAAAATCATAATTTTCGATTATTCCTTTGAAATTGTAATTGCGATTTATTAATTTACGATTAAATTAATGATGTTTACACCTTTGTTTGAAGCAACTGCATGCCATATTTTTATATGAAAATAAACAAGCTGAAAACACTAACTGAAAAACTTTTATTGCTTTTCTATAGTATTAAGCTTCAAATGTCAACTATACATTGGATTGGTTTCTCTTTAAATAAAAAGGTAAAAATATGCATGATATTATAATGTTATACTAAAACTAAAATAAAACAATGGAAAACCCTTAAGATAACATGTAGAAAGAAAAAAAACATCTTAAGCATGCAAAATAACATTAGTGGACTTTCAACGATTAATTGCTGCTTTGCACAATTATGTAATTGTGGCATCCGTAATTGTAATTGCAATTAGAAATTTGATTCATTGTGCAGCCCTAAGTGTAGCTATCTGAAGTCTAGCTATTTTAGGATGTCTGGGATTAAGGGCTATATAACCATGCAGTATACATACACTTAGAACTAATGCTCTTTTCCACTTTTCTTTATCGTATTACCTCTCTCACCCGCTCCTTTTCTGCTTATCATTCCTGTGATCCAGACTTCCACATAGAGAGAAAGCAGGCCTCAATAGTAAGAATGGACCAGGACCTGTGTGAGAGAATTTCAGGCCTGTTGACTAATTTATGCTGCCCGGTTGGCCACTACGTCATATCATAGTTAATCACGTACATGCTATTTATGCTTTGAGAACTTTCTGAGATGTACTGAACATTGTGAATTCTGCTAATTGAAATACATCAGTGTCACATTTCATTGAAAATGAAAATAAATCACCAGTGCATCGTATTTCATCATTTTCCAGCAATATTGTATGAATTTGTAGCTGTCAAATAGTTACATTTATAGCTGTGTAAATTCCATCAATTTTTCTGATATAAATTTGATATTGCTTTTGCGTAATTTTTCATAATTTAATTTATTAAATGTATTCAAAATGTAGATTTTTTTTTTTTTTTTTTTTTGTGCTGGGTCTTGGGAAAATGATGACCTACTGGCTGACTGGACTAGCAGAAGAAAAAAAAATCCTATTTGTGAATGAGACCTAAAATGAAATATGTACAAAAAGGAAAGAATTTTAAATGAGGGAAATATACATTGGGGATAAGAAGAGGCCATGAAAAAGGCATGGATGAAAACTCGGAAGAGGGATGTGATGTTAATCTATCTGTAGCACCTCAGAAGCAGAACATGGAGAAACTGGTTTGTTGGATCCATATAATTTACCAAAACTTATCTTGACGTGACAGCACTTTTCCTATCACCAGTTGTCTGTTTTTTTTTCTTCTTCAATACTCCAACCTCTGCTGTTCTTTTTCCAAATATCTCCTCTTCTTTCCATTTCCCTTTTTTATTGTATTATTTTTTTTTTTACGACTCGCTGTTCAAAGGGCATCCAAAGAAGGCATGAATGTTTCAAACGCAGTTTTCTGTGGACCTCTGTGCAGTTAAATATGAATCAGTCTTTTGATTGAGTCACACTGGAGAGACAGGCAGTCAAAAACAAGCACAGTAAACAAATCAAATGAGAGGCAGATGCGGAGCTAAATCTGAGAGGGGTAATGAAGCAAACACAGGAGACGAACAGACAGCAGACATGCTTTTGCTGTCCCTCTATAGCACTGTGTTACGCTGTGCTTGTCCGCATGCGTTCGTTGGCATACATCTTTTGGCTATGTATCTCTTTGGTGTACTTGTCTGTTGTCAGTGTGCTTTTTGAATGCATTTAGTGTGTTTACTGACTGACTTTTAAGCAACTTTTATTACATTTCTAAACTCCTTGTTTCAAAGGCCCTACTGGAGACGCAGAACGAACTCCGAACCCATGTTCCCAATTTCACCTTTAACTTGGGATTCTCTGGAAAGTTCTTCCATGCTGGTAAGCTAATATCACACTGTTATCTTAGCAAAATGCTGACAACATGCTCTTTTGGTATGTGTGAGCGTTAGTCAAGTAACATGCACTGTTTGTGTGAGTTGCTACTCAAATAGAACATTCTTAATCAGTCACTTATGAGCTTCTGTGATGGTTAGAATGCAGTTTTAGGCTACGTTTAAACTAGTGCATTTTCGTTTTAAAACGCATAACTTTTGCTACGGTTACACCTGCCGTTTACACTACTCCTGCGTTTTCGACTCTCGCAAACGGAGGCTTTCGGAAATGCTGCAGACCCTGTTTTAGTTTGAAAACTCCAGGGATGCGTTACAGTGTAAACAGACCAAAACGGAGACTTTTGAAAATGATGCCGTGGCTGCCAACATTCGCTCTACGTATCCTTGTTGACCGTGTAAACAATAACATGCTCATTGTGTACCTGCGTGAATGGTCATGTGACATGCGTTTTCGGTTGTGTAGTGTGGACGGAGATCGCTTCTGAAACGAAGTGAAAACGCAAGTGTAGATGAGGATCGTTTTCATTGTAAATCGAAAATGCGCTAGTGTTAACAGGGCCTTAGGAGGCAGAATTTTGAATGGAGTAAAGATGTTTACCGTTTGTGTCCATGTAATTATGTTTTAGGCACAGATGAGGAGGATCTTGGAGATGACCTGCTTCTGTCCTACAGTAAGGAGTTTTGGTGGTTCCCCCACATGTGGAGTCACATGCAGCCACATCTCTTCCACAACCAGTCCGTGCTAGCAGAACAAATGCTGCTCAACCGAAAGTTTGCAGAGGTGAGACTCTAGATGAAATAATCAGAGAGATGATCTGAGTGTTCTTGATAAATATGTATATATATTAGGGCCCAAGCACTAACTGCTTCTTTTATTTATTTTATGTTCGTAGATAATATTTACATATTTTTTTAGATTTCTTACTTAATCAGATACGATTTTATTTTATTTTACACTGTTTGTCAGAAAGAGAATTGTGATATATTGATATTTGATTGTATAACAGCAGTCCTGCTTTATATGCAAGATTAAAAGTATGACCCAAATCACATTGATTCTACATTGAAAGTAGTATGCCAAAAGTGCCTGGATAGTATACTATTTTTAAAATTATATTTATAATTTTTTTTTTTTTTTAATGTATATATTTTTTTGACAATGACTTTTGGGCCGAAATCTTTTGGGTTTTTAAAGTTATTTACGTTATTCACTGTAAATCTCCCTGTACACCTAGCTCTCAAATCTCATTTGCATATTTGCGTGTTCAAACTTGCCATATCTCTATGGAGTATTGGGAGTGCCATATTAATTTTAATCTTACAAAAGTTAAAATGGTTTTATTGATGCATTTAATGAAAGATGTATTGATTAATATGTCACTCACAGTCGTCTATAGCTGTTAGTATGTCTTGTCAGCTTTACAGTTGGACCATTCCTTTAAAGACTTTTTAAAATAATGCACAAATTTTGGTAATTTATTGGTCGGATATTTTTTAATTTTGTAATCTAACTTTGAAATTTTTCATTTGTTAAACAGTATTAATTTTACATAATACGTATATGTACGCATCTATTTGAAAAGTTTGGGGTCAGTAAGATATATTTTTTTTTTTTGTATTTATAATTTTATTCAACAAACATTAATTAAATTGATAAAAAGTGACAGTTAAGGCATTTATAATGTTGCAAACAAATTCTATTTCAAATAAAAGCTGTTCTTTTGACATTTTTATTAAAGGGGTCATATGATGTGATTTCAAGTTTTCCTTTCTCTTTGGAGAGTTACAAGCTGTTCGTGAATAGATAAGATCCATGAAGTTGCAAAGACTAAAGTCTCAAAACCAAAGAGATATTCTTTATCAAAGTTAAGACTCTGCCTATGGATGTACGATATTCGATCTTTCAAATCAGTTTGGCGTGTAGCTGATGCCTCTCCTGTGCAGAAATGCTAAACAAATTATTTTTAAGTTTGGTTAGTTTTGAGCAAAAACCTATTTATTAGAACTAATAAACATTAAAGTTTTGTTTTTTTTATGAGAGTACATTGAAAGCTTTGAAAATAACTATAAAAAAGTATCTGCTGTTTATTATATTATTATTATTATTATTAATTAGTGCCATCAAACAATCAATCGCGATTAATCGCATCCAAAATAAAAGTTGTTGTTTATATAATATCTGCGTATGTACTGTGTGTATTTATTATGTATATATAAATATAAATATATATTTTTAAAATATATACATGTATGTTTGTGTATTTATATACAGTATACATAATAAATGTACACAGTACACACACACATTATATAAACAAAAACTTTTAATTTGGATGTGATTAATCGTTTTACATCACTATGATTATTATTTTCAGACATATGCAGTTCAAGCCTTAATATTTTATTTGTGAATTTAAGTTTAATAGCCTAGGTGGTCTAAACTTAAAGCAGAAGAAATCTTTTAGAGCTCCTTGTATTTAAGTTTTCATAATCCATTTGAAAAAATAAATTACATATTAATGAATAAATCTGTATATATTAAATTATTTCAAGTGTCATGTTTATGATTTTTATTCATGTAAGCTATAGCTTCTGACCTTTAAATCAAAACCAATTTTATGACATCAATTAGTGCTTTATTCAGAAACAAAGTTATTTGTGTTAATGTTATTTGTTTATTTTTATTTTATTTTATTACAAGTAGGCCAACAGCACCCCCTAAGTAAATAAAACGCCTTACCGGAGGGCCATTAGGACCCGGGGGAGGCTGTTGTTGCTGTTGCTGCTGCTGCACGCGCTGGTGACGGTTTACTCTATCGCACACCGGACAGACATTCTGTACATATATTCTCAAATTAAATGCAGCTATTCAAAAAAGTGAATCTAATCGTCATTCAGGCAAAAGTTCGCTTCAAGAATGACCACACTGCTGACATGATCTTATCACTAGCACACTCTGAGCATGTGAGCTATTTGCTAGATTTTTACATTTGAAGCCTTTATGGGCCGTTTCTGATAACATTCCGGCAATATTGTGCATCCCTAATAAGAAATGTTTCTTGAGCACCAAATCACCATATTAGAATGATTTCTGAAGGATCATGTGACACTGAAGACTGGAGTAATGGTGCTAAAAATTCAGCTTGTTTCGAAGTCAACCGTTCATTTATCTGATAGGCTGGGCCCTTAATGACTTATTACACTTTATTTCAAACCAGATCAGCATCTTCATGACCCACCTGTCCAACTACGGGAATGACCGTCTTGGCCTGTACACCTTCAAGAACCTGGTGAAGTTCATACAGATGTGGACCAACCTGAAACTGCAGACTCTCCCGCCTGTACAGCTGGCGCAGAGATATTTCCAAATCTTCCCTGAGGAGAGGGACCCCATCTGGCAGGTAACAGAGGAGCTCTGTTGGGGGTCTGTACTGTCCAGGGATCATTATGGGAAACAAATACAACTCTATTTAGTGGGAGTGGATCAGCAGAGGTTGAGATTGTTGAGCGGTGTTGCTGTAATTTGTGGCGAAAGGTTTCGTATGGCTGTCTGCACATTGACTCTAATGTACAAAGTGTGAAAATGGTTTTCTGTGTAGCCTGCCAGGAAATCAGAGAATGCTATTTTTGAAATTGGTTCCTATATTTCAGTTAAAAGTTGGAGGCAATGCAGAAGATCTGTCTTTCTCTCTGTATCTTTCTCCCCTGCTCACCCCATTCTACTCTTTCTAACTCACTTGTTTCGTTTCACCCTTAGAGAAAGAGAAAGTGGGAGCCTGAAAGCTCTAAATCCCTCTTTTGATCTCTCTCGTTTCCTGTCAAGGTTGAGGTCCCATCTTTTCTGTCGTCTCTCCAGCGTTCCACAGCTTGCCCTGCTCTGAATAGTCTTCTTTCCTCTGCAGTTGTTTTCACAAGAAATCTGCAAGCTGCTGTTACATGCAGAGAAAAGATACAACTTTGGAAAGACTTTAGATTTTATTTTAGACTTAATTCAGCATGTCCATGGCTCTTTCCCAGAATCTATTGAACTGTTCTTCTCTCTACATCCTACATGGACAGCTATTTTCTAGAAGAGGTCATCTGCCACAGTGCTGGTAGATAAGGCAAGTTTATGATAGATAAGGAATAATCATGTTGTCAATCAAATGTCACCTGACAAAACTGGAAAAAAGGTCTCTTCGCATCCGCTTGTCGGAGAAAGTGTTAGCAGCAGTATGAACTGATGCTTATATCTATGGACCTTTACAGTAATCAGCTAACAGAGCTAGTTGTTTTTATTTTATTTAGTTTTAATATCAGAATGTTAGTGAGAAGAAGAAAAATTAAATAGATACCTCTAGATATCAATCAGCATATGTGAGGGACATCAGTTGTGATCATCTTTGGTATCTCCTTTGAAGGCGTCTTGAGTAAAACAGCTCAATATTGAACAAAGCATGTTGTGCAGTAGAGCAGGGGGTTCTTCTTTTAAACTTTCAGTCGGATTTGATCTTTTTACACTGCATGAATATACAGAATTTCCCTGCTGTTTGTGTATACTAGCCATCCTCCTGCTGCTTTTCTTTGTTTTAAAAAGCAGACTTGATATTTATCGTATGTGTCATAATTAGGAGCGCGCAAAGTTCTGTGCCGTGATGTTCATATTTATCAAATAGGGCTGGGTATCGATTCAGATGTCCCGATTCGATTTCGATTCGCAAGCTCTAGATTTGATTCGATTCGATTCTCGATTTTTTTGATTACATTCAGTGAATATAGTTTTAATACAAATGCTATTGATATTTCAAAAAAATTAACAGTAAACATCAGTTTACAAATGGTGAATTAATAAAAAGATATTAAGAACCACATGTCTGTATTTTAAACCTATTCTTTTTTTTGTATAGGGTCCTTTTTTAAACAATAATAGGGCCCTATAAAATGTTCTTAATTTTTTCTGGTAATCAGATGAAGGCATAAAACATTAATTAAATTGATCCTAATCAAATGAAACTTAAACACTTTAAAATTAAAAAGAAAACAGATGTGATTATTCCTTTAAAAAATAAAGATTTATTAATAATTATTAGCAGTAGTAGCATTAGACTGCTAAATAGTAATGTATTCTGACAGTTTCTTAATGTTAAACTAAACTTTAATTTTGACGGGTTGCCGTGAAGAACTTGCAGCTGCTGTGTATGTGATATGACGGTAGTTTTCTCAAGTGAAACGGTAAAATGCTAATGAAGTGACTCTCAGAGCAGCTGGAGATGACATTCGTGTTCATATCATCATATAGTGAGACGGCAGAAGCTGAAAACACAGCGAGCGTCATCCGCGCTTTAGTATGTGTGTAGTAAACAAAACAGTGCGCCCCGCCATTCATTCATTGCGGAAATCATGGCGCCTTATGCGTGATCCCAAATGCTTCCTCAGATTTATAGTATTACTATAGCATTTCACCTGAGCATTGCGAATCACACGTATGGCCATGATAAGCGCTGAATGAATGACAGGCTTTCTGTTGTAACATCGCGCAAGGTAAATAAGGTTGGCATCTAGTGGAGAAGACTAATGATAAGATTCACGTTAATTGAGATACATCCAGCTGCAGAACCCTTACGTCACAGCAGTCTCAGGACAGCAGTGCCAGCGCATATTGTTTTATTGCTTTGTCTTCTGGGTAAATTTCACCTTCATAAAGCCAGAATCATTCATTGCAAACCTAACTTTAGAATGTTTTCATCTGATATAACGTCCCATTTTACTTTTTTTAAGAATGTCAAAACCTTTGAACTCAAAGGCTTCTAAAATGTTTAACATTCTTGAGTCTATTGTAAGCTATCTTTAAAATACTTATTTTTTTCTTTATCATTGATATGTTCTGTTAATTTGTGTAGCTTGTCTAACTTCTTGTGATGTCCGTTTGCCCCCTGTTACTTCATAACTTTTGTTATTCTTTAAATTGCAATATAAAACAGTCAGCATTTTATTATAATGATTTAATCAGATGATAGATAGATGAGGTAGATAGACAAAACAAAGCTTGAGGATTTGCAAGGATTACAATTATTTTTTCATTATACACATCATACACAAGTAGCAAAAGATTTTTAAAAATAATAATAATAAAACAAACAAATGTTAAAGCAAAGCAGGCACACATTTAACAAAAATTATCAAAATTGACAAAAGAAAACTCAAATAAATCAAACCTCGAGAAACATGCTATTTATTTTGAGGCCCCTTTTGTCCATGCACTCATCGAGAAAAATGTCCTTATATAATTCTTAATTTGGAATTGGAAAAAAAAAAGGTTCTTTGGCCAGTTGCTGGCCGTCAGCCATTTCAGCCTGTGAAAGCTGAAGAAGAGCTTTCTTCTGTTCTTCCTCTTTCAGTTTGATGAACCTCATCTCTTTCACCAAACCTCTGAAGACACAGACACCTTTTTCCGCAGCCATCCAACTGCAGTGTGGAGGTCTTTTGTTATCCTTGGCTCCTGAATGAGGTGTACAAACAAATGGAATGAAGTGTTGGAAATACCTTCAATAATACTGTGCATTCAATAACACATAATACTAAAAAGTCATGAGCTTTAGTCAGGATTTAGCATGCATTATCAAGTTTTGATTTTTGATGAAGTACCCCTATTTGAGATATTAAAAAAAACATACCCTGCTGCAGATTTCAATCTCCTGCTCTTCCGGCACTTCCACGCACTGAGGACATGGTTCCTGCTAAAACATTATGGTAATTTGTAGTCTGCTGGACAGAGAAAAACATAAGAGAGAAAAAGATACCTTTCAACAGCAAAATTTTCCAAGAGAAGGAGGCACCACCATTTTAGTATTAGAGGAAAATCAAACTGGCAAATAAGGAAAAGCAAATATCAATATATCGGGGGTGAACTATCCCTTTAAAGTGTTTTTTCATTTTTTTTTTTTTTTATGAAATAATACTGAAAATAAAGACAGAGAAAATAAAACTGCCAGCAGGTTGCGGTAAATGTCCTTATGAATCATTCATTCATTCGATTCGTTCAAACGGCTGATTCATTCAGGAATTCAGTAAACGGCTCACTTTATGAATGGGTTTTTTGAATCATTGGTTCACCTGATTCGTTCAAAACGCAGATTCATTCAAAAAACTAAACACCACTGTGTTGCTCTGAGATGCACAACAATTCTGCTGTGGCTTTAAAGGTAATATTTTTGTTGGCGTAACAGAGCAAAAACAGACAATATTGTGTTAAATTGTATATAACACAATGATATAGTATATAATATATAATACCCAATAATATAATTGTATATATAATTGTGTTATATTGTAAAATACTGTATAACACAATATTAACTTCTTATTTACTGAACTGTTGTGCAAAATCACATTTGAGACAAGCAGCACTCGTGTGATTGCTCTCGCTGCTCATTTGATATTGCTTATATAAATATGAGACCAAAAAAACTCATACAGGAGCATTTTTGCCCCAATATCTTGAATTTTAGGACATAACTGCATTTATGGAGTTGTTGCCCTGCATCATATCAAAGACACTTTCTATAGTCTGTGATAATATATATTTGATCATTACACACACACACACACACACACACACACATATATACACATATAGCTTATATAAATATATTAATTTATCTTCCTTTTTCTCACCATCAACATGAAGATCCAACAGTCAACGGAGCCAGCCAACTGTTGTGGAAAATTCGAAAATAATAGAATATCATTCAGTTATTCCTGGAATAAGAATCACATCATTTGTATTAGTAGCTTGTAACTTTGTTTTAT